TTATAACATTCCTCTCATGATACAAGCTACCTGATTGAGGCTACAATCTTAAGGAATGGAAATTAAACACAGTATATAATAAACATTTCCTTAATGCTGTAATTGTAAATACAATAGGTGCAAAATGATAAAACATAATCAAAATGTTTACAGAAATGTCAAAAAAAAAACAAAAAACAGAATCAAGGAGTTAAGCAACACGGCAACCAATATATTTCCACAATAAATTAACATCCAGTTCTTCCACTAAAGTTTTGGATTCCATGCTTCCATGACAGTTAAAAGTTTAACATCTACAATATAATTCATCAAACTAATTCACAGTAGTACCGAACATACACACAGTAATTTTTATTGTGGAATAATTTTTTTCCTGCAATTCTGGATTGTACCTCAATCACAACTACATAAAGAAAAAAAGGTATAAACATATTCCTAAAGGTTAAATATAAAAAATTCCTTTGCTTAGAGCTTTATATTAAAAAAAAGCCTTTTGTCAAAGGGAAAAAAGTTCAAATGATATTTCCCACGTTTATGATTATACAATTTGCCTTCTTTAAAGATCTCTTCACTGTAGAAGATACTTCTAATTGTTAAAAACAAATCTATATATAAGATACCTGATTGCCAAATTTATCCTTAACTTGCACTTGGAATTAAAAACACCACCAAAAAAAAAAAAAAAAACCGTTCACATTATAGATATAATAAAACCCCAGAGTCAACTTCTTGGCTTGGTAGCCTTCCGGGCAAAGGGTTCTTTAATGGACCTGCTCTTAGGTAAAGGAAGTTGCTCGCTCACCTGGGTGTATTGGTAGTGCTCCTAGCAACAATGAGCATTCTCAAAATTCTCTTAATTCCACTGAATGACATAAGATGGGTTAGGTTAGTTTAATTCTAGTTCTGAATGTTAAAAAAAACAGGTAGGGATGGGGAGCAAGATAAAGAGTGGGTTTGTCAAGGCTCTTGCAGCTGCTCAAGGACACCAGGTCCTGACACCACATTCTGCAACAACAGAAAATCCCGCTACTTTTAATGGGCTTGGGTTGCATTGCAACATTTTTGATCACATCGTTTTTCACTGAATGTGTAGATAACTATAAGTGATAGACCTAGAGCAGGGCTGTCAAACTCCCAGTCCGCGGACTGGATGCATCACGTGCTAGCCACACCCACCCGTGGCCTAGCGAAGGGGGGAAAGTCCTGATACGTCATGTGATGCCGCTGTGACACCATGAGTTTGACACCCCTGACCTAGCGTAACAATTCAACTGGCTTTCAATAAGTTGCCTTACCCACTGGAAATTTATTCCTCCAGCGCCAGGAATAAATCACAATACAGTCAAAGATTCATTAATTAAAAACAATAATTATACCTCCCAACTAACCATTCCATTAGTAAAATCCAAAGTACAGTTGTGTGAACAGTTGCAGTAAGATTTATGAAAACTGAAACTTGATCTATTATAAATCATTCCTTAATTTTTTAATTAATACATATTGGGACATTGGTTAAAATGGTGGTATCTCATGTTTAATTACTTTGTTTTATTAATATTTTTAGGTTAAAATAAGGCATTCTTGGGGCTGGATCTCATTTGACTTCAAGAGGTGTGCAATGAGATAAAAATATGCAGATAGACCAAAAATATGATAAGAACCAAAAACTGGCCCTTACAAATGGAAAACAGGACATTATAATACACCATTTTGAGCAGTAGCGTCATTGTTCCGTCTTGAAAATGTAAGATGAGAGCCAGCCCATGTTTCAATAATAATAATAATAATAATAATAACAGCAACTCAGCGAGATATCAAAATGGAACAAATGAAGTGAATCACAACTCCATTCTGTTAATATAAAAAGCCACTGAAATATAATAATGAAGAGGTATGTACTGTATAGGTGCTGCCAAGTAGAGATAGTTTTTGGCCTCGTAATTTGAAAAAAAAGCAAAGAAAACACTTTCACAATGTGATGATTGTTCCTTCTTCTTCAAAGGTCTTTTGGTCAGAATCCTGAATTTTAAATTCCATGTTAATGCTGCTTGTGGAACAGTACAGATTGACTTCCCTGGAAGAAATGAAGCCGTTCTGCATGGATTCATGGTGGGTCTCAGTTTGTGTCAGTGAATCCAGACTTTCACTGGACGGAGCAGCTTTTGGAATTTGCTGTGGCTCCCCATTATCTTCGATGATTATATCATCTTCATCACTGTCTTCTTCCTCGGGTTGGTAGCGTGGCACAATATGTGGAGTGTAACTTGGAAGGCTGTTATCAGTAGACTGTCCTGAGCTACCAGAAGTCCGACTGTTCCTAACAACGTTGTTCCTCTGGTTTGCTGGTCTCACAGTAATGATCAGATTGCGACTGTTTGCAATCATCATATCTGTAACTTGATCGAGGCTTTTTCCTGAAACTTCTATACCGTTCACTTCTAGGACTTCATCATTAACAGCCAGTAAACCTGTGCTTTGAGCCAGGCCTCCAGGAACCAGCCTGGATATGAATATACCGGGAACTTTTTCTAGCCCGTGCGGGGTTACTCTGACACTGGAGCCATCGCGTATGTAAAATCCTAGAGGCTTCTCAGTTCCGTATTTATAAAGGCGCACTCTGCGATGAGTTTCTGGAAGTATGTCCACATCGATAATCGAAGACACTGGCCTGAAGTCTTGTGGCAAGCTAATAACAATGTGTGGCTTTTTCCTATGGTTGTCGGGACGGAGCACATTGGATAAGACGTTTTTCTTCCTTGTCATGGTATCTGTCCCAAAGGCACTGTAGTCTGCATCTTCTGTAGGAGAAGGAGAAAATAATGTATTAGTAATTATTAAAAGTCAAGACATATTCCAAACAGCATCTAAAGCATCACTCATTAAAAGACAATTCAGTGATTAGAAAAGTAAAAGCAGCTAGAAAAAACAAATGCACAAATGTAAAATAGTGGTAACTATGGGAGACATTTAGGTGTCCTAGTGGACAGTCACTTATACTTAAGCCAGAAGTGTGCTCATCTGCCAAAAAAGCCAATGCAGTCTTAGTCTGCATTAACAGAAGGGTAGTATCAAGATCATGTGAAGTGACAGTATTGCTTTAAATTACACTGGTAAAACTGCACTTGGACCACTGCATCTAGTTGTGGTTAAGGTAAAGGTTCCCCTCGTAGATATGTGCTAGTTGTTCTCGACTCTAGGGGGCAGTGCTCCTCTCCATTGAGAGGAGCCAGCGCTGTCCAAAGACATCTCCGTGGTCATGTGGCCGGCATGATAAACTCCAAAGGCACATGGAACGCTGTTACCTTCCCACCAAAGGGCGTCCCTATTTTTCTACTTGCATTTTTTACCTGCTTTCAAACTGCTAGGTTGGCAGAAGCAGAGACAAGTAACGGGAGCTCACTCAGTTATGCGGCACTAGGAATTCGAACCCTAGCTCTGGCATCTGCTAGGGATTCGAATCCTAGCTCTATTCAGAACCCTAGTTCTGGTTACCACAATACAAAGCAGATGCTGAGATTCTAGGCAAAGTACAGAGAAGACAACAAAGATGATAAGGGGCCTGGAGGTTAAACTGTACAATGATTGTTATGGGAACTAGATATGTCTAGTTTATTGCAGAGGACTAGGAATGATACGATAGCAGTCTTCCAGTACTTGAGGGGCTGTCACAGAGAAGAGGGAGTCACCTTACTCTCCAATCTGACTGAAGGCAGCACAAGAAGTAACAGCTGGAAGATCATTAAAGACAGATCCAACTAAAGAAAAACTTCCTGACAGTGAGAACAATTATATCAGTGGAATGGCTTTAGAACCCTCCAGAGGTTGTGGGTGCTTCATCACTGGAGGTTTTTTAAGAAGAGCCTGGGCAACCATTTGTCTAGAATGGTAAAGGGTTCAAAGAAGGCATGGGAATAGAAGACCTCCAGGGTTTCTTCCTGCTCTTATTCCATGCTCTATGAATTTCTTTAAAAAATCATTTCGCTTAAAGATGATATTAGGACCATGATAGATTTGGGGATTGTAGCACAGATATGACTGCTAGAAAAGCAGAAACTCAAAAGCTTTTAAACGAAGAGTCAATCATTTGAGGTAAGAGGTGTACTTGAGCAGTCTTTATACCAAATGTACTTCTATGCTCCATTTCTGTTTTTACCTCTCAAGTTTCAGCATATGAGAATAAAAAGCATGAGGATGGGCAAAGTGCCAGGGGAACCCATTGCTGCCAAGTATCTGGATAACAGCTAAATGACCTGGTTTTAATCTCTTGAAAACAAATACCATTCCACAAACCTGCCCTCTTCCAGAGTAAGCAAAATGACTGGCAACAGACTAAATAAGTAACATATTTAAACACTGGAAGATACTTTTAACAAGTGGCTGAACCATAAACTAATAATCCTGGCAACCTGCACAGCAAGTAGAAAAATTCTCCTCAGCTACTGCAAAATGCTTCAGTTCAAAGAGAAGAAAATAAGTTTTGATGAAATACTTGCATTTCTATAGCAATAGCACTTAGGCTTATATACCGCTTCATAGTGCTTTACAGCCCTCTCTAAGCAGTTTACAGAGTCAGCCTATTGCCCGCAACCATCTGGGTCCTCATTTTACCCACCTCGGAAGGATGGAAGGCTGAGTCAACTTTGAGCCTGGTGAGATTTGAACTGCCGAATAGAATCATATTTAACTTGTAAATGTTGCAAGGGAACCAGTTTTTCCCCCACATTTGACAAAAAAAGTGTCTCCTTTCAGAGCAATACGGTTTGAAAATCAGAGCTGAGGTAACTGGTACGCAATGGTACAGCATAACAGAGTCATCTGAAATATGCTAAAACGTCCAGAATCTTGAAATCTATTTTGATAAGAGTATTCATACTTCCAGGAAAATTATCTACAGATGTCTAGAAGATGTTGCAAGCCTCTTAAAAGTTGCTTTATTCTGACATAAACATAGTTGAGCTCATTTTCAATCAAGTTACACTTTATGGCCTTTCACAACTTGCCACAAAAAAACACTATGTAAATTGTTTCTCCGACGGGAAACAGATAGTAAATAACTCTATGTTTTGTTAGGGACTACATAATTTGACACAAAAACTGTACACCTTACAAAAGCCGTCATAGGAATGTTCTATGACGGTAAGAACTCTAAGCAAAACTCGATATTAATGAGGAACAGTGATAAATTCCAGTAAGATCTCACTTATTTTTGTAAACTCAAAACTCTAGAAAAACCAGGGGAGAGTATCAGTAATGCCAACAAGCTGTTTTCCATGGAATCTAATCTGTTCTACTTGAACCTCTAGTGGAAGAATCCAGATAATATTTCAAGTTCCTAAACAGTTAGAAAATAATCCAAGTCTCTGTTATTTGAGCAAGGAAAGAGTGCATTCACAGAAATGGGATATAAATTAAAAAAACAAACAAACTTGACATTAAAAAAAAGAAATGGGAGAGGGATCTTTTTTAAAAAAAATATCTATATCTACATATCTACCTATCAAAATTTGATTCATTTGCACTTCCATATCACATATCAATTTAAAGATTTTTATGTAAACATCTTTTTTTTAATTTGCTTCTGCAATACAGCTTTCATTGTCTCCCTCCCCCCCCCTCACTTTCTCTTATACCTAAAGAACTATGGAACATAATTGGGTGTACATAAAGTGAATCCATGGATGAAAACAATCAGTTGCATAATGGCAAATGTGTATAACACAAATCCTGAATAAAGAAAAAGAAATCAGTACATGTGACAGGCCCTTTTTTTAGTTATTGTCAAAATTGGATTCTGGGACAAAATAGACATGGAAGAAAAGAAAAGTAATTGAGGTGAAAATAGAACAATTTCAGAAAAGAAAATCCTGTATTAACAGATAATTTTTTTCAACCGAATAAATGGAAAGTGAGCATAAGAAGAAAGGATATGGAGACTGCTTAGATCAGTGATGGCAAACCATTTTGGCATTGAAAAGGGTGCGCGCATGCACAGTACAAAGTGCAAAAAATGGAGCACTGCACGCACTCTCATCTGAGCTGCGACAAGGAAGAGGAGCTGCCCAGGGGGCATGTATGCGCTAAAATTGAACTTCTGGTTTCCAGCGCGCACATGTGCGCCGGCTAGCAAATCTTCCGGTTACATGCTGGCTGGCACACATATTCACCCCAGAAAATATAAGACCAGCTTTTCTGGTTTTCAGCACTGCCACATGTGCAAAGACCAGCTAATCGTTGCATGGGCATGTGCGGTGGAAACCCAGGAGAGGAATTGGCAATGCTACGTGTGCCAGACGACATGGCTCCGCATGCCACTTCGGGCACGTGTGCCATAGGTTTGCCATCATGGGCTTAGAATAAAGTGAAAAAATACTTTAAAATGCACCAGAAGTGTGTGATGTTAAAAGGAAGAATAAATAACATAAACTTGGTGGACTAATGATGTTAAAAAAGTGAAGGAGGAAGAAAAAAGATACTATATAATGAATGTAGAGAAATTGGTATTAAAGAGAATGCAATCAAAGAAAGAAAGGAATGTGAAAAGGCAGGAAAAAGGCAACATGATTTTGAGGGAATTTTTTTTACTATTATGGAAGGATTACATATAGTCTGCCCTCAGCAATGATATTAAAAATACAAATGATGAAATGGATTGGCCTTAAACAAAATAGAATGCTTGAAGAAATATTTCAGCTATGTTTATAGCAGGGGAGGGTTGCTGCCGGCGTTACTGCTGCTTCACTTTGCTTTGCATGCGGTTTGCTGCGTGCACGTGTGCAGTGCGTGCGCATGCAGAGCTGCCTGTAAAATGTTCTGCACATGCTGACAATGCCAGCGGCGACTGGGGGACCGGTTCAGAGGCATGGCCAGCCTGGGTCGCTGCGGGTTCTGTGACCCAGGCCAACCAACCACTACCGATTCACCCGAACCGGTAGCAACCCACCTCTGGTTTATAGGTATAACAGTGTTATGTTGAAGAGGACAATTGAAGCTAATGCTTTAAATTTAAAGTTTTGTGGGACTTGTTTAATGTTAAGTTTGAATATTCTATCTATTCCTTAAGACTGGAAGAATGACATTATTGTCTTCCTGTAACAATATTTTCAAACTGGGTAGTTTTAAGACATGTGGACTTTAACACACAAAATTCCCCAGCTGAGGAATTCTGGGAGTTGAAGTCCACACATCTTACTCTAATCCTATAACAAAGGGGGAAAACTAGAATTAAATTAGCTAAGTCTCTCTGGGAAAGTAGTTTGATAGAATTTGGACTGAAATAGCACGAGAGGTTATTTTGGTTTGCTTATTTGGATCTTGCATAGTATTACATTTTTTCCTGTTCTTATTTTTTATTTTTATCATTGTCCACCATCCAGAGTCACAAATTGTGGGGGCAGCAGCTTTAGAAATTCCTTAAATAAATGGAAGACAAATGAAAAATGGGAGTATGTAGCATGGTTTTGTGTTAGACAGGTTTATTTTAGAAATGTATAAATGTCATTTATTAGTGACTAGAAAACTTTTAGGGAGTTTGTGCTGAAAAATGAACTTGTGATTTATGGGTTTCAAATTTAGAAAGGGTCAAATTATGGAAAGGAAATTATGATGTAATCTTAGAGAAAGTGGATAAAGTATAAATCTGTAACCGCTATCATGAAGATCGAACACCTTTTCTTTGGAATTGTTCCTCCCCCACTCACAATTTCTATTTCTTTTTCTATATTTCTTGTTCATTTTTTAATCACTTTTCTTTATACTTCTTTAATTCAAAATGTGTACTTTCTAATTCTGTTGAAAAACC